GCGAATTTGCGATAGTGGAGATCGCAATGCGAATTAGAGATCGCATTGCGATTTTGTTGGTCATTTTCGCAAATCCAAAAAAAGTTGGTCAAAATCGTATATTATCTGGGATTTTTGGTCATTGAGATTATTTTCTCTTAAAAAAAACGTTAGTACAACTATTTATTTGAAAAAAATAATCAAAGATAAATAATAAGAATCGAATAAATAAATTAAAATTTAAACTTGTAATTTTCGCTTAAAAAGACAATTGTAAATTAATTTCAGCCCGACTCATTTATTTGTCCCTAGCGGAGTCGCTGTCGGAACCGTCTTTCGGTTGGGCCCCGAATTGGGCTTCAACTTGGATTAAATGAATTGGAGTCGCCACCGACCATTTAAAACGAATTTAGGTAGGTCAGACACCATCTTACATAATCTGCGTTGTACGAGAAACGTGTCGGGTTTGGGAGTCGGTTACGGTCAAGGAAGGATTAACACCCTTGAACCGTCCTTTCGGTACCAATTTATTTATCGGTTGCCTTAATCGCAAAAATCAAAATTTAAATTGAAATTTAAAAATTCAATTCGAATTAATTATCTTTGATCGATTGAAAGTATCCCTAAAAAGTCGAAAGTGTTGGATTGTAAAAATGAAAATAAACATGAGAAAAGAATAATAAAAAATATTAATAAAAAATGAATAAATATATATATGTATATATATATATATATATATAACAATGTAAAAAGAAGTAAAAATATTAAAATTAGGAGAAAATGAAAAAATATATAAAGTAAATAAATAAAAAATGAAATAAAAAGAATAAGTCAAAAGTTGTTACATCTCTTATGTTTTGCGTGTAGAGAAACTAGATTTGCAATGAAAATGCTCTGCCACTCCTCGTGCTTTTAGATACTGACTTTGGATCTTCCACGCTTATTTTTTGTCCTTTTCTTCCATCAGTTTTTCCAAATCGCTGCCCTTTCCTCTGATTTTGGTTCCACGTTTTTCTCTGTGTCTTTTCCTCTTGATGCATGAGTCTATTTATAGTCTAAAGACACCTATTTTTAGCTCAGATTTAGAGTCCTACGTGGACTCAAAATGCTTTGATTTTAGTGTTTCAATATGACTCAAATATGTTGGTTTATTTTATGAATCTCACTAAATCGAGGTTGTTGAATGCGGGGCCTATAAAAATAATAAAATAAAAATATAATAATAATAATAATAATAATAAATAAATATATAATATAATAAAATATTTTTGTAGACCCGGACAAAAACGAGTGTCTACAATATAATATGCTAATAGTTGATACACAAATTATATAAAATTTAATATGATATTAAAACCTTAAACTTTTAATTTGAAACAATATACTATAAATTCTAAATAAGAAATATGATATTAAAATAAATTAAACTAAAATTCGCATATTGTATTTATCAGATTGTTTTTCTTAAACAATATCGATATATAAATTTAAACATTTTCAATAATATGAGGTAATTACGAAATAATATATATTTAGAATCTTTCTTAATAATTGAAAAGATATACTATACATATGCATTTGCTCAAATCATTTAATGTGTTATATGTATATCATTGGTTTTCAGAACCGGACCGATTAGCGAACCGGTCATGCTACCGGTTCACTGGTTCAACCGGTCGTACTGGTCCGACCGGACGACGTCATAATTATTTAAAAAATTAAATAAAAAAATACCAAAAATATTTAATAAAAAATAATTTTTTATATCACAAGTCATATTCAAAGCAAGTCATAACATATATAAGTTAAAAACCATAAAATCAAGTGAAACAAAATGATTCAAATTAACTGCAACATAATATTTAAGGTAAAACATATTAAATAATAAATATAATTATATAACTATAATTAAAAAATAAATTTGGATTTAAAAAAATCATAACAAAATGATATTGTTTGGTTTATTTTTTTTTTAAAAACAATCTCACATGGCTAAGAAACATAGAAGAACATCACAAAAGTCTAAAGAGTAAAAATATGAGAACAAAACAATCTCACATTGCTAAGAAACATAGAAGCGCATCACAACTAACTTCTATAAATAATAGAGGTAATTTGGCATTCAAAATCATGGAACCTTTTGGTGAACATTGAGTGAACTATTCTTTCACTTCAATCAAGCTCGAGTTTTAGGCTTCAATCGAGCTTCTAATTTTTTTTTTGAGTTCAAGCCTTTTTGAGTTCAAGTTTCAATATTATATTTCGAGTTTGAGTTGAACTTGATAATTTTTACCTTGTGAGTTTGAGTTGAGTTGAGCTTACTTTTAAAGTTTTTAAGTTCGAGTCGAGCTCAGCAATACTCGAGTTCGACTTGGCTCGTTTAACAAACGACGTTGTTTGGTTTAATTTTTTTTAAAAAAACAAAAAATAAAAATCCCGATTTTTCCGGTTTTCAGCCGGTTTGAACGGTTCAACGGTTCTGACCGGTTCACTAATAACGGTTCAACCGATTTAGATTGAACCGGACTAATCAACGGTTCCCGATTAAACCGGCCGGTCCGGTCCGATTTTCATAACAGAGTGTATATCTAAACTTATACATTAACTATTCATCTAATTTGTAATTTTATACTCATTAAGATTATTTTGATGATTGATTATGATAAATTGGTAGAGAAAGATTGTAATATTTGCTACTCTACTTTTAAGTTTCCTCTCTGTCTCTTGTTTCGGATGTGATGGTGAAAGACAAATTGGTGTTGTCATATTCACACATTTGATTCCTTTTCTAGACAGCTGCTTGGGTCATTGCGAGTCTGCAAACATGTAGTTAATAAGTAGGTAGCATAGATTTTCTTTGGATTGGTTCAAAATCTTTTCCTTTTTCTTCTAAAATTTAGCATTAAGATTTTATAGTAATTTCATGCAAAAAGCCTGGGACTAACCTAATTCCTAGAGGGTATTGCAGTAGGCCTGTGAAGGGGAGAATACCCTCCAAGATATTGCTATCATAAATAGGGGAAATCCTCTAGATGTGTACAAAGAAAGCAAAGCAACTATTCTCTTGTTAAAGCATCGACCACCAAAATATCCACATTCGTAGGACAGCTATATTGTCTGAAAGAGAGTGCAAACAGAGAAAGTTATCGTGGAGAAGAAAGACAACCCCAAATGTCTGTTAAGGACTTGTTGGTAGGGTTGCTTTCATTCAACAATCCAAGAATCTCTTTGAAACCCAACTTTGGGTGCCTGCTTTCAAGGTCCCGGAAATCTGGATTTATTTGTAGTTTTCCTCTTTTACTTTGTCCTCACTTAAAAGGACCAGGGGAGTGTGAGAGAGAGACGCTCAAGAGAATGTGATTTGGCGGTCTTTTTTTTTCCTCATAAAAAGGGGGATGGGTCATGCGAGACAAATTGACTTGGAAATTAGAATGAATTGAAAAGGACAATTATCTTTTATGGATTTAACTCCATTATTTTCGGTTCCAATCCTCTTTAATAAGATGGGATAAATAAAACTAGATTCAATTAAAAAAAATCAAATTTTAATTTTAGATTTCAAGTTTGAATTGAATTCAGATTTTATCAAACCCTTGCAATCAAAGATGTTCGAACTTATGATCTTTAGAAACAATAATGATTCCTTTAACCACTAAGATAAATTGATTTGTGTGAAAAAATAAAAACTTGATATATCCATTGATTTCCTTATTTCTTCATTTTAAGTATATTAGATCCTATTTGAACCACACACTCCTGGACTAATTTTAGAAAACTTTTTCAGCTTCAATCCCTCTTTTTGAATGCCATTTTCCTCTCTTTGTAATTTAATTCTTCAACTTTGAATGATTTTTCAGTTCTTCAATTACTCTTTGATTTTAAGTTAAATTTTTTTATTAAATTTAAATCACATACTCCTCAAAACTATAGAATATTTATGCAACTTCAATTTCTATCATTAACAACAAATTTATTCTGTGTACAATTTAATTATTTTTTTATTTAATTTAATCCTTTGATTGACTTTTTTCCCCATCAATTCCTTTGAATCATAGATATATTTTAATTTATTAAAATAACATAATAGATATATTTCATAATTTTAAAAATAATATTATATATATATGCGTATTTTAAAAATAACAGTATAGATACATTTTATAATTTTAAATATCATTGAATCTATTAAATAATATTATAAATATTATTTGCATATTATAAAATATATGTGTATTCGATTAGAGAAAATCGTTTAAAATAAAATCAATATATTATAAAATAATATAAAATTATATTAAAAAAACTCAAATAACTAAACTGGAAAAATTAAATAAAATTTGAATAGTACAAAAGAGTCGGTAACTTGACTAATAAGAAAATTTCTAACCCGATTCAATAAAGTAAAGTTTGATTCTCACAAAAGCCTTCTTAGCTCGACTAACCAGAAAAATTTTAACTTGACTTGGGCAACATAATCATTCTTAATCGTAAATAATAAAATATGTTCCAACGATTAGGAATGAGAGTCTCTTCCCTGTTTCAGCTTCGTCTCACTTTTTGTCTTCGGTTGCTGTTCTGACATGTATACATCTCCCCTACAACAAATGATGACATGATTATTAGATATCAATTACAGAACTTATAATACAAGAATTGATGAGCTTATCGAGAGGTTTCGAATAACAGTGTATTATGTAGAGTATGAATGTTATTAATGGTTAATAAAAATTATAGACAGTATTACCTTTTAATCATTCCATATTATTTAAAAATAAAATAAGAATAGATCACCTAAAACAGAAACTCAGCATTTATCTATTTCACATGTAAAACCCTCTATTTTAACTTTGAAGCCCTATGTTGCCTTTATTTCGACTTGAATCTGGGCTTCAAAGGCCAGACTAAAACCCAATGTTACTCTGACGACAGCCAGCACAAAACAGAAGGTTGAGATCAAATCAAACTCAAAATACGGGAGATAAGATACGATAAAGAAGAAGATGTTTTTACCAAAGTTTCATCTACATCCGGTTGTTTTTACAGTAAGGATGCTGGCAATTAGACGGATCAGCGCAAGGGAATGGATGATCCAAATACATCGGCTGCAGGTAATATCCTCCATAGAAATCATACCAAGGCTGGTAGTAGACAGGCCCGTAGTAACTATCCCAATATGATGCTGGATTAAAGTATGGCTGAGAATTTACATCATAAATGCTGATAGTGTCATAACTCTGACTATGTTCAAATCCACTCCCACAATATGTTGGTGGATTAAAGTATGGCTGAGAATTTACATCATAAATGTTGACAATGCCGCATCTCTGATTATGTTCAAATCCATCCGGCTCGGCACCCATATGATATTTGGGGATGGCCTTCTTAACTTCAACCATCTTGTCCTGTAATTGGTGAAATTTGTTCTGCAGAACTCGTGTCACCGCTTCCTTTGAATCATATGTCACGAAGCCGTACCCTTTTTTTACTCCGGTTGCACTATTGTACATTATGATCGAATCGGTGATGGTACCGTATTTATTGAAATATTGATTGAATTCTTCGTCAGTTATTGCATGAGGCAACCCTCCTACGAATATCTTTCTATCGCTGATTGGTACTTTTGGTTTCGCTGGTTCCACATCAACCTAATTCAACAAAATTAAATAAAATATGTTAAAACCTTTTAATCACTTATACAAAGAATAATAAAACCCTAAACCCTACACATTTTGATTTTTCCCGGTTCTCGGTTCTATAGATTCTAAACTTTTCTACACACACCAAATCAAATATATTTTCGGTTTTTGACCGAGGAATCCAATCTCACATCAATAAATTCAAATATCAAATATTAATACATACAATTCTATCTAAAAAATATATATATTAACATGTACAAAAGAGAGAGAGAAACTTACCCGTTGATCAAGAATAACATGTTCTTGTTTAAGGGCGTTTTGAGCCATGGAAGGATCAGAAAAAGTAACGAAACCGATGTTCTTTTGAGCAATGATAAGAACATCTTTAATCTTACCATACTCACTGAAATGTTCTTTTAACGTTGTTTCTGTAATAATTGAAAAATCTCCCCTAATAAACAATTTAGGATTCTCAGGCTCCATGACCAAAAACTGTTGAAGAAAAAACTTGAGATTTCATAAACAATTATAGAGAAAACTAGATACTCTTGAAAACATTATCCGAGAGATTAGATAGTGAATATTATTTATAAGAGAAAAAAATACTAAATTTTACTTTATGCCTGTAACAAATTGAGATTAATTTGAATTGTCTCTCTTTTTGTTGCATGGTTTGATTCTAATTGTAATAGTACGATTATATTTTTTAATTTGACCTTATCCTTTACAAATTATTATTTATATTATTTTTATATTATATCTAATAATTTAGTTCTTTAGAATAAATTGCTTGATTAGTTTAACCACAATTAATTACATAAGAAATTTAAAAGTAACATAAACTGCTCAGTTTAAATATGTTAAACTATTTCGAAATTTAAATTTAATTGTATTTAAAAGAAATTTTAAATTATTATATTACTAATCCCACCAGATTTCATCAAATTTAGGTGTTAACATGGTATATTGTCATAAACTGAACTGATTGAGTTGTAAAAGAAATTCTATGCGGTATATATTGATTAGGCCATGTTGGCTTTGACGAAAATAAATTGAGTAATTTTAGTAAAACTAATTATATTATGTTTAATGAATTTAATAATATTTAAATAATTCAATAAACCGATTAAATTGTGTGCAAAATATATCGAAACCTTATACAAATATTGATTCTTGTTACCCTTAAGATTGTTAAATTTTGCATTAAGTTTCTGAAGTTGGAAGTCTGATATTATGTAAATTAGCAACACGATAATTTATTAGTACATATTAGGTGTGTAAATGAACCAAATTTGAACTAATAAGATTGTATTAATGTTCGTTTATTTATTTTTGAAGGTATTAGTGTTTAATTCGTGTTCAATTAGATTTTTAATATCATATTTGTGTTAATTTGTTTATTTTGAAAGTGTTTGTGTTCGGTTCGTTTATCATTTATAAACATATTCGTTTAATGTTTGTCAACATATTCGTTTAGCAGTTATGAATTTGTTTGTGAAATTATGTCATAAGTCATTAAGCTCCAAAGTTCACCCTATATTCAATTTTCGTCCCTACTTTCCTCAATATTTAAAATATAAAAAAATTAAAAGAAAAAGGAGAACCAGGTAAATGAACTTATTAATGATTCGATAAACAAGCTTATAAGCGATCCAATAAATGTGCTTTCAAGTGAATTTTTTCGTAAATATAAAAGAACCGAATACACATCGTGTTCATTCGTTTATTAAATGAACATAAAATTTTTATTTATACTTGTTTGTTTAGCTTATAAATGATTATAAACAAACGTTATACAAACAATTCATCAAAACGTTTATGTTCAGTTACACTCCTAGTATAGATTTAATATTCATGAAGCTGGAACTTTGCAACATATGTCAAAAACTTCATCTAGAGGTGCATGATATCTCCGGCCCCTTCATCTTTTCGAGCATATACCAGTTGCTTACCTTTGAACACAAACATTCCTCCCTGATACAACCAAAGAGGAAAACTATTATCAACATTGGTATGACTCTAAAACATGGATTCTTATGTTGAAGCGCCATTAAAGTTTACAGAGCTTAAATGAATTTCGTGTTTTACATGTTGCAGTACACCACTTCTTTCGTCTGGAGTGGCCTCAATTGTATAGTTTTTTTTACAGCTTTCCGCAATGATTCAAACCTTGAAAACACCCGAGTCTGCACAACATTACCTATTAAATTATACACTACCCTACAAATCGTGGACACGACAACTTGTTGTATCAGTGTTACTTTTCATGTCGTGTTTTATACTAGTCGGTGTTGTCTTAAAAATTATCTGAAAATAAGGAGAAAAAAGTATGGGAGAGAGTGAAAAAGAGATTTACACTTGCTGGATTGAAGAACGTTCGACCAAAACCATAATACAAGCCCATAATACCATATGACTGAGAAGGGGTGTTTTTCGAACGTTAATGGTTAAAATTTTTTAAAGGAGGGAAAAACTACAGTACGAGTCCACTAATGGTGTGGTATTACCTTGCGTTCTGGATCAGCGTAAAGGCAATCCATTGGAAATGGTAGCTGAATCAATTTCAGTGATCCGATATATGCAAATTGTTAGCAATAATCAACAACATTTTTCCCAGAAAAGCATTGAAGAACACAGAAAAAGGAAGTACCCGCTTTGCAAGCATGCGTGCTTTGTTGGGAGTACCAACTCCAAGTGCATTCAGTTTAACTCCAGCGGCTTCAAATCTTGCTTTTGCTTCTTTCAATTCTGAAGCAAGTTCCCAGCTTACAATAAATGAAAGAAGAAAAAATATTGTTTAGTAATTAGTCATAAACTTACAGAAAAAGGTAGATACTAAAAAATCCCTGAAGCTGGTGAGTGCTTAAGTGTTCACCAACAAGGGCATCCGAAATGGCGTAGGAGTGCAACAACTGCAATTCCCTGGCGCAAGAAAAACAAAAACAGAAATTAAAAAGAGTCTGAATTGAGATTGGAGCAAGTTTTAGCAACAATAATAGAGTCAATTTTACTTGGTTTTGGTCCCAAAGGTCTTTCAGAAGGACAGGCTGACCAGCAGCAGTGAAAATGCTAACATCCCCAAGGATCTCAGGCATATCTGCTTTGAATTCAGAGACAGAGGCTCTTCCCAAGAGCCGAGAGTTGCTGATGCCATTGTTGGTTGTGAAACGCTTGGCTGGTTTTAGTTTTATGGGGCAAAAAATGGGAAATTGAAATGATGAAACTTGAGATTGAAATTTAAAAGAATTGAATGAATGAAAACATAGTGGCCATTGCACTTTCAAGCAAATACAGGGACTGGGAAACTAGAGACTTTCCAGGAAAAAAATTGGTCGATTGTTGATTTTTCTTTGGACTAATTTCATCAAAAGGTGGAATTTGGAGCTGCAGGATTGGTGGTTAAGAGAACATCAACGTTTGGATTGAGTGGGCTATGAATTGTTGATTGCTTTGATTCGTTTCGCTTTGCAATTGGCAAGGCTCTAGCCCAACCAGATTACTTCCACCTTCTATATATTTAGGGCAATTCCACATTTTTGTACTTGAAATTAGCTTTAAGGTGCAATTTGATATTAAACTTTTTTGCCCAAATAGATGTTGAAACTTGGCCTTAATATTTAATTTAGGACTTTAAACCTTTTTTCCAATTAACTATTTACTTTTATCCATAACCAGTGTCCTCCAGGATTGGTGGTAGAGAAAATTTGCATTATTAACAATAGTAAAATAAAACCACTTGTACCTTTTCTATAAGCAATTTAGGAGAGAATTGCAAAAGCTCCCTCCTATGATGCTGAATTTTAATCAGCATAAAATCTCTGGTCCTTACTCCTTAGTATTTACAATCACAACTTTAACTTAAATTTATGAGAGGGACTTTAACTCACAAATCACTTACTCTGGGCTGCATTCAGAAACTTCAAAGCATACTTTATTCTTAAGTACCCATAAATTATAAATAAGATTAAAAATCAATAAAATTCTTCTATATATATTCTTCTAAAAGAAAACTCAATTATTAAAAGTTACAAAACAATATTTATTGAGTCTTTCGACAATTAAAAATTATAAAATAGTCATTCAACTATTCATTTATTCTAAATTCTTTAATTTCCATTAAAAAATTAACAACCATCTCAATTGGACATTAACTTGTTAAATGATATATGATAAAATCTAATCTCAATCATTTTAATTGTATTTTGTAGATCAACTCTTCATTTCCATTATGTTGTTGTGTAAATAAACATCATTAAAATATAATTTTATTATATTTCAATTAATAGATTAACAACCAACTAAGACAATCGTTAATCTTTTAACGAAAAAGAATAAATCTAGTACACATAAATAGTCATTTTACCATTTTACAACTTTTAAAAATTTCATTATTGAAATTTATATTTTTTAGATTTATAATATATCATGATAAATCCACTTATATTTTACTTATTAATTTCAATAGGTCATATTAAAATATTACTTAAGTTTATATTTATTAAAATTAAAAAGTTTTGATATATTAAAAATAGTAAATAATTAATTTTATAAATTATGAATTAAATTTTGTTAAGATTTTTTTATAAGAATATTTATACAATTTTTTAATAAAAATATTTTAAAATTAATAAGATTAATTGTTTAATATTTTAAAATACTAAAATATTTTATTTTAATTCATATAAACATTATATTTATTTCAATAATAAAACTTAATGAATAAAGTAAAAACAAAAACCTAGAAATTATAAGGGAAGAAGGGGAAAACTACATAATTCTATAATTCTACTTGGTTAAGAAACAAAGCCTTACACTTCATTTATGTTTATATAAATTAATACTACTAATCTTTTTAACTCATAAAGTCAATATAAACCAAATTATCTTTGATATTTATATTTTTTTTAAAATATTTTAGTAAATATGTTCTTCATGAACAAAAAATATTTTATTAAATATATTTATGACGTGAACAAAAGACACTCTCTATAGAAAACATATTTTATTTAAACATTTTGTTTTAAAAAACACTTCATTATTACGTGACAAAAATAAATGCTACACCGGTAAATAACGGAAAATATGTATTTTTCCCATAATTAATTAATTTTTTAGAGATATTTTAGAGTGATATTTAGTGAAATTGTCTATTAAGAGAAATAATATAAATTTATGATAGAAACAAAGGAAAAGGGGAAAAGAAAAGATAGGCGAAATGAGAGTTAGGTAACAGAACCCTTGAATATTGAAATGTAAAAAAAATTAACAATGAAAATTCTAAAGCTGAACGATTCTAATATTAAAAATAAGAAAATAAAGTGGGCAAAAGAAGAGAGTGGTTCCATTAATAAAAATAATGAAGAAAATTAGAGGAGCGGAGAGCTCAGATTCTATGGGTGTAATAAGAAGTCTGTCATGCCCAATATGAGCAAATATCAGAACGAGGAATTATTTTTATAATCATCGCCATCTCCGTTTTCCTACAGCTTTAGCAAAAAAAGAAAGGAAATTAAGGCTCAGACACGCACAAACGCTGTCATCAGGGAGCTGTTTGGTCCTTAAATTCAAACAAATTTAAGAAATAGAAAACCAGTTCAGAATCGAGAAACGTAAACTTGTCATCACTGCCATAACTTTATAAAAACTTTGTCAAAATTCCAACAAGCTAAACACTCCAGAAGAACAGAAAAGAAGACGGAGAGAGGAGCGGCTGAGAAGAGCAGAGTTGATTCGCATTTTATAAGCGTGAAATCCTAAATCTAAGTTTTTAGGGTTTTATGTAAATGACGATGTTGTCCTTCTTCTTAAAGGGTTGGGAAGTTTTGCGCCAAAGGCCCAATATATACAATATAATCCAGCCTGATTGATCAAACATCCGATTTTATTAAAATGGATTTTACTAATTTTTTTATTATTTTTTATACTAGCCCAACCCAACTCCCTATTAGCTCAGAAAATTAAAAGTGATAATTATTTTTTATATTCTTTTTAATGATTTATTAAACTTTATGTAAATGGTATTAATTTGTTAATAATTTATAATCTCCAAACTATTAAATTAAAGTTTATTATACATTTAGATACATTTAAATTTGCATTTATAAAACATTAAACTAAATTTTGATCGACTTTATTAATGATATTTTAAAATTGTTACTGGGTAGAAGAGGCGTTACGCAGTGCGGAGTTTCAAGCAGAGGATAGGAGGATAGAAGGTGAATTTATATTCCGTAGGTCGAGAAATTCGATTTTGCTCTTCAAGTTCGACCTTGTTTTCTGTTCTCTTTTTTTCCATGGGAGGAATGTGGTCAGTCATTGTATTTTCTTAACTTTAAATTAGGCTGTTGTATTATAGAATTTTTTTTTTTCTATTAATAAAATGAGTCCGACATTTCAATTTTTAAAAAAATTGTCAAGACTAAACTCAATTTATTAGATATTTTTTACATTTTCTTAATTAAAGAAACTCATAACTTAAAAGCATTTCTTAAGTTAAAAAATATGCATTAATAGAGTAGAAAGTTGATAATAATAATGAATTTGTTAATAGATAAATAAACTTTTTTATTATTGTTGTTGGCTTGTCAATAATCAAATTCAGCTGGTAACTAAAAAACCTATTTTCTCAGTAATTATTTTTAATTGATCAAAATGAAAATGATCAACTTTACCTACCGTAACTTTGGAGCACTGGGAGGGATTGTCAGTCCAAGGCTGTTAAATTAACAAACAAAGCTCTTCATCAACTCTTTTTATCTTTTTCTTTACTTTCATCATTTCTTTCTCTAAATTCATTCGAAAGCAAATTGCTGCTTATTTTTCACGATTTATTTGCATCCTCTTCAGATATTATGTTTTTTTGACCCAATGGATTGTGTAACAAACAATTAATTCTAAAGTTGATATCCGCCTTCAATATATATAAGCAACGCCTGCAAATGATTCTTTGATCAGCGTTGGGGAAAAATGAGTCATAAAAAGGTTCATTCACAAGGGAATGTACCCTTTTCTTGGGAGGACAAGCCAGGGGTTTCCAAGTCGTCCAAGGTTATCCATTGTGATCATCACTACTGCCCTATTGATGTAGGGTCATATGCCGTTGCCGGTGCTGGCACGTCCAAGATTTTGGTTCATGAGAAGAAAGTTCCTCCTCCGCCTCCGTTTCCGAAGAGGATCACATCGGGGAAGGGCTTGAGGTGGTGGGTGCAAGATCCTTTCCTTGCTGCTTATAAAGAGTGTACCAAAAGTGGGGGAAATGGCAAGCTGTCAAGTGAAAACGGTGGCTCCAAATTAGCAAGGAAGAAGAAGATTGGTTTTTCTTGCAAGGAATCATGTAATGTTAGAGATGATACCTTGGTGAGATTATCCAATCTCCCACCTCTTCCGAAAGATGGAATTCGTCGTCAACGGGAATTTGTTTATCCATTGAGGGTCTTGCTGAAATAGAGCCTTATTAGATAAGAACATGGAAGTATAGAATATAGGTATGTAGATATAGAAGCCTTACGTTGATGAATAATTCAATGTGTCAGGATGCTTAAACAGTGTCAAGTTCAGTATTGTTGAAATATAAATAAATAAGAAAGGTGTTGGTTTCATAACAAGGAATTTCTGGTTCATGTATCACCAAGCATGCAACTTCTTGTGGTCAAATCCTTTTTTATTGTTTTTTGCAGGTTGTTGTTGCCAAATGTTGAAAGGCTGGTAAAAATGCCTAGTTTCTTGGTCATAATGATTCAAGAATTGCAATGGGGATGGATTAACATACGGATTTCTGCAACTTTTGCTTAGTTCACTTATTATTTCAGCTTTCTACCAACTAACAAGCATCAGAAAAGGAAGATGAGGTTTAATGTTTTTCTCAAGACACAGCAAGGTATTGCTGACTATACCACGCCACCAACTTCCTTTCGAATGGAGGAACATGGAATCGATTATGGAAGGAGTTCAGATTGTTCATATGGAGAATTTTTGTGGACGCTATGCCTACTAATCATACTAATTGGAAAAGAACAGGTCTTAGATCAGCTGAATTTGTGCAAGTGAGGATGAAACTGTGGTACATTTTCTGAATTTGTGCAAAAGAGGAAGTATCTTGTTGTGTAGATTGGTTTCAATAGATCTAGAAGAATTAAAGTTGGATGTTGGTTTTAGGAAAATAAATTTTCTTGTGAATGGATGATGCATTTGGGAAGGCAAGATGTGCTCCTGTAATCTGTAACAGCGGTATCTAACAAAGAGCAGTGGGATAAAAATTGGAAAGCCTTCTACAAGATATCAGAGCCAGGTTTCGATCCTGGGACCTGTGGGTTATGGGCCCACCACGCTTCCGCTGCGCCACTCTGATTGCTGATTTTCTCTTGAAGAGTTTACTATTATATACTGGTTTTCAGTAACACACTTACTAACAATCTGGGACTTTTTTTATTATATTAAATTATTATTAATATGTTTGTTATCTACGTCAATATTATAATATTATTATATTCAGATCGCAAATTAAATTAAACGTCATAGAAGTTCCACTTTCCTGGGTTCTGTTTGTGGCCCATTTTACACACTAAGAATTGAAGGCTCCAATTTTAGGAGGGAGGAGTCTCGGCAAACTTTATGCTTCTAATTCAATGAATTATAGTTCCGAAGGGTTTATATATTGTTCATTTTATTTTTATTTTTTTAATGAAAATCAAATATTAAAGAATTACATCACCTTCTAAGCCATAAATAAGACGGTCTATTAACATCTCTGTGAAGAATATAGTAACGATTAGTTGGAATCGAATTGTAGATAGCTAGAGTTCCATCCTTGTAGGATGTGTTCTTGGCTACTTCATTAGCTTCTCTTGTGATCAGCTTAAAGTCAACGTACTGCCTTTTTTGACAAAGCTCAACTTCAAGAATTATTGAATGTTCCTAAATATTTATGAATACCCGGATAAAAAAATAAATATTTATAAATATTATATTCACTTATTTAATATTTGTAAGTAACAATTAAATTAAATTTGGCTTATATCAAAATTATATAAAGAAAATAATTATAAAACAAAATTCAAATTAAAAAAAACACTAATGAAATCATGTTTATTTACGTTGACAACTGTTTTCTTTAAAATAATTCATGGATGTAATTGGCCATGGGCTACTATGTATTTTGGCATAGAAAGCCAACTTAGGGATCTTAATAACTTGCAAGTGAAGAAAAGAAGAAACAAGCTTAGGGTTGGACAACTTGATGAATGATGATGCCCTACACATTTTTTAACATTTTCTTGTATATGATTAATTCTCAACATTTTTATCTCATTAAATTAAATTATAGCTAAAAGCCTAAAAATTATATAACAAAACAAACAAATAAAACATGTACCTAACGTCGGTTATAATATGGTAAATTAACGACCTAATCCATATCGTCATACAACCACAAGTTAACGACCCCATAGATTCTTTTAATTTAAATGCTTTTGATGTCAATAATATTAATTTAGAAAACAGTGTGTTTTAGAAAAATAATATGCGAGGAATATTCATTACTTGATTTTATAACATATTGTCGGAACCGTCTTTCCGTTGGCCCGGAATTGAGATTCGACTTGAAAAATGGAATTAGAGTCGCCACCGATCATTTATTTTAATCAAATGGGTTGATCGGATACCTTATTTCTTACATGATCTGCGTCTTACCAGAAACGTGCCGGATTCGGGAGTCGGTTACAGCCAAGGAAGGGTTAGCACCATTGAATTGCCCTTTCGGTACTACGTAATTTTCAGTTGTTTTTAATTAAGAAAATCGAAAGTTAAAATTTAAAGGTAACATATGATCCAAATTATTTACCTCTGACGGATTTAAATCGTGCCCTTAAAAAATAAAAAAAAATGTTAGTTGAAAATGTAAGGAATAAATAAATAAAATAAATAAACCCAAACAAAAAGGAAGAAAGAATTGGTAAATAAATGTCTTAAAAAACATGAAGTCAAAAAATAAAACAAACAAGAAATAAATAAACAAGATAATAAACGAATAAAATAAAAATAAACAATAAATAAATAAATAAGTAAATTAGAAAAGCCAAGAAAAAATAAAAAATATGAAAATACAAATACAAAATATTAAATAGAATAAAAAAATAGTAATAAAATAATAAAATACGAAAAACTAAAAATGATAATATATATAACTATTAGGTAATAATAATAATAAATAGGGAAAGAAATAAAAAAAAACATCCCTCCACCGAAAGTAAAAAAAGGGGTACAGATTTGAAAAAAAGGGTAAATGTTTGGTTAGCTAAAAAAGAGAGGGTAGGGCCTAAAGGGGAGATAATTCAAAATGTTAGGTTATGTATATAATATAATATGTACAATAATAACAGATAAAAAGAAAAAAAATAGAAAATACAAATAATATAATATAATAGTAATAAATTAAAAAACCAAGAATAATAAAAAATATATATAAAAAAATAAAAAATATACATATATACGTATGAACAAAGCAAATAAAAATAAAATAAAACAAATATAAAAAAATAAAAGGATTCAAAAAAAAAAAAATATATATATATATAGTAATAATAATATATATAATAAAATGTAATATATATAAAAATATATATGTGATTGAATT